TCATTTCTATTCTCTACTCTCTGTTGTTTTGGAAACTTTTTCCTATACTTGTGGGTGTTTTTCTTTTCAAATTGCCTCATCATTTAGCATTTGACCATGGCACTTTTGTACTGCTGTCAACTTAACTATGCCTCTGGTATATCATACCTGGGTTTTAATGTCGTGGATCTGCTGTTCAATTACACAAAGAAAGACCATTATGTTTGAGCTGTTTTACACAATGCCACTATGTATTTACCTAAAACTGTACCGGACTTCTCTACTATCAGAGTACCTGGGAGAGAAATACATGTCTCTCTTGCCGTCATCCATTCCCACGATGACTTGCTTCATCGTTCTTTTTTCTAGACTTTTCTTCCCATTTACTGTAACTTTCTTTTAGCTGGACACATTTGCCTGAACCTTTGCAGAATGCGTCTTGGTTTTGTTTTCCGTTATTAATTTAAATCTCTCCGGGACCCTTAAGTGTTATTTTTACATTCATCCTATTTGCAAGTTCTCTCAATCTGACATATCTTTTTCTTCCTCTGCTCTTTTCCAAACATCTAGATCTCTTATTTGCTCTTAAGGCTCATAAATAACTGGCTAAATAAGTACTTTTAAAAAAACAATGCAGCCAGGAAAAACACCAAGGCTGGCAGCCTGAGGAGCCTAGAAGGCACCCCAGCATGGTGGCATGGGGGCACAGAGCTGGGATTCCATCCTGAGTCAAGCTGAATGGGAAAACCCCAGAACAACTGAGGAAAACTCTGTTGTCTGCAGTTCAGGAGAGGCAACAAAGACTTGGAAAGGAGCTTTTTGTAAAGAATACATTTCTAGCATCCATTCATTCAAAAAGGTGAAGAGACATTCTTTTGTATAGAATGCGTAAAAATACAGGGTATCCTGAAAAGCACTCACCAAGTTACAAGTAAACTATTCATGAGATGGGCACACAATGTCTGCAATTCCATTTCTGACTCTTTGTAAAAAGAAGCTAAAATCACCGTTGGCAACAGTTCTGAAATGCAACAGTAATCCATAAATACTCCTTAATTTTCCTGTCGTTGCAGAATTAAGCTACTTCCAGCTCACACAGATCTTACCAGGTGTGCTAAATTGATGTCATTATAAGCCATCAGGAAATACCCACAGAGACCCATAGCAACATTTAGAAGTTTTGTTAAACAGCTGTGTGTTGTAATTGATTTGTATTATTTAAAACAGCTAAAGCAAGTTATCGCCGGATATAGAGGAGGGATGACTGAAGACTCCAGGGAGATTTAACTCAGAAGAAACCCAATCATAGGAACTTCATTTGAGCATTTTAAGATTATTACTAGAGGAAGTGCAATTAAATCATCACCATTTATCAATTATCATTATAATATAGTATGCAACCTTATCATACTAATTTATTTATGAGAAGGTAACTAGTTGACTTCTGCTTTTTGCAATAAAAATCATCTAGTCAGTAAAAATATTTGAAGATGCTTCCTCTGAAAATGAGCACGACTTTCCACAATAATCAAAAGTAATTAAAAATCCAAACTTTGCCTAAAATTTGGTTTTGGCAACATAATTGCCTGATTCAATGTAATTGCCTGACTCAACCCTGATTCAGTGTAATTGATTCAACGTAACCATGATTCAATGTAATTGCCAAAAAGCTGAATTTTTTGGAGTTCAGTCTAGATATATTTTACCTTAGAGAATATAAGCCAAAATACAGTTCTATCAAAAACATGCACAGGCACAGCGCCCACGTTTCATAAAATACATGGCATATAAGACCCAAATGATTAGTGTAAGAAAAAAAGGCAGTATGACTTTCTTTTCCTAATCTGCCAACTATTGAACCACAGTGCAAAATCAGCCCTAATTAAAAGTTAAGTAACATTATGCTTGAACAGTGTCAAGCTCTGTTTTTCTTCCCAATAGTGGATTTAAGATTTGTAGAATTTTAAATTTTTAAATGAAGAATTTAAAATTTGTATCTGTTTTGGAACAAAATCCTAAACCTTTTCTCTCAGCTGCTGATGTGTACTGAGAGTTCAGGCTTGATCTGGTGAGTTTGCTCAGTGACTTGCATTATACGATCTGTGTCCCTGCAGGCAAAGCCTAACCCACATAACAAAATGGGTCAGCAGAAAAGCAGAAAAGGAGAGGAAACTCTCTGTTTCAGTTCAGAACCCTGATTCATTTGAGGGGGAAAAACCTAACTCTTGTTTCGATCTGAGCCTTGCCAGCTATTGCTTACAGTATGTTTTCATTATCTTTCATAATTCTTTTGAGAATACTCTGATTTTTACTGCTGTTTTATATTTGGACTGGCATATGCAACTCTTTTTACAAGGGAAAGTGTTTGCCGCACTAGTGGTTGCTGGCACTGAAAATTCGATAGTGTTGACACTGCTAATTGTACTGGTGCTTTCTCCTGCTCTGATTCAGCTGGAGAGAGGTACAGTTCCACAAACCATGCGTTCCTTTGTCTTCTTATCACTTGACTGAAAGACCATAAGCAAATGCACCCTCACTGCCTGTGCCTTTCATCTAAAATTATAACTGTAGACCGCTTAAAGCTGCTTTCCCGGAGACTATCTCTTGCAACCATTTCCAACCCAGGAATGATGCTGGGGCCTTTGGACCAAGTTCAGTACTGATGTAAAGCAGGGTAACCTCACTGGAGTCAGTGGAATTCCATGGCCTTGAGCCACAGGTACACAGTCTTGAGGGAGAAGGTGTACATACAAATGACATAGAAAAAAGTAAAGTTACTTCAAAATACGCAGTGGGATCAATGGAAGATCTTAACTGCTCTTGCTTCTGGTACCTGCCAGCAGTTCCAGTACTGTTCCAGCCAAACATTCCAGTATTCCAGTACAATATTCCAGTTCCAGTCTGAGGTACAGTCTGTATTACTCTGGCATAAACAGTTTAGCTTTATTTGTAATCTCCTTATTTAATGGAAAATCACCCTCATGTTATATCCAATACCATTTTGCTGTTGTAACTTTGCTAATTTCTCCAAAACATTTCTCCTTGCATCTCAGTTTGTGTTTGTCACTGGACTCAAACTGGCTGAACCAAAAAAGGAGAGGTGTCACAGAGACTACAGCTTCAGCACTCCACACATTTTATCACCCATAAAACCTGTTTCTGCAAGCCTTTGTGTCTATGTGTCTCTCACTGTATCTCCAGTTACTAGACGCAGGACAGTTTTACTTCACTGTTCTTCAAGAGGCAAAATTAATCCCTGTGTGGGAGTGACCTGGTTTTCCTTTTGGCTTCTACCACTCTGATTTTACACATTCCAAATATATTGTTTATGCTTTATTCTCAGTAGTATTGCATTATGATTTATTACCTATACATAGCTGTAGGTTCTTGCAGTGCTTTGCAGACGAATAGAAGGAGGATGCTTTCTACAGAGGAGCTGGAACGTGGCTTCAGGCCACAGTATAATGTGAGTGTAGAGAAGGTACATACCTCTGGAGTGCACACAGCAGGTTCTCCTGTACATTTTTGCAGGTGGGAATATAAACTATCCACAAGCCAGAACAGCTCAGCTGGGAAATACCAGAGATGTCAGCCCTAAAGGGTACCTAGCATCTGACTGCAGGGTTACTCTGGTCTCTGTCTACCAGGAATGCAAGAAGGCGGATGCAGTGAAGGCAAAGCTAATTGAATCCTCTGCCTCTCTATGCAGAACGAGTCATGATTTAGCTACAAATCTGAAACTTCAGCTATAAATCATAAAACTTTTCTGAAAAATCTGAACCGCACTACTTTCTTGTGCAGAATATCAGTTATCTGCTACCATATCACATTATATTATTAAAATCTAATTTTCTCATCATCACTCTGCAGTAGACAGGTCAGGTAATTAATATTTTATGTAAAAGCATGTATTACTAGAATCTGCAAACTCAAAACTGGAATTCAGACTTGCACAGCAAACATCAGAAAACCAATGTTGTTAGGCTCTCAGGGAGCTATTATAATATAAATAATAGTCTGTGGCTGCAAAAATATGAATGCTGCTTGTGTTCCCATGACTGAGTACCATCTACAAATAGGCATCCTGTAATTAAACTGTATTAGTTGAATTAAGGAAACACCTGTAGAACTCAGTTGAGGTTACATCCCTGTTGTGCCAGATGCTGTGGTAAGAGACCTGCGTACCTGGAAACAGCTAAAATCAAGAGATCAAGGAAGGAAAGGGAAGGAAGAAAAGACATATTATTATCTTTGTCTTATGATAAAAAACATCACATGTGGGGAGTTTCCATTCTTTGCCCAAACTGGCACTGGAGGGATCTGCAAGAAACCAGAGCAACCAACTCAGCTCTGAACCGTACCTCACTCGTCCTTGAACAAGTGGGACTGTTTTCAAGAAAGCCATTATCACAAGTCTGGGTTGCTGAAAGGATCTGGTGACTTCAAAACCACTTTAAATAACAGTGATTTGAATAGCTCTAAATTAAGGCAGTGATATCACAGTTTACTAACCTGCTTCCTCCTGTAAAACACAGCATTCATTAACTACTGATTCTTAAGGATATTAGTCAGCAATAACTCATTATTTGACTGAGAGACCAATTTTCTCTCCTCCAATCCTAAGGACTGCAAGTTTACTTAAAATTGAAAATTACACAGCCTTTTTTGGTAATATGATTAATAGACAATCTGTGAAATTTTACACTGATGTATTTTATTTACATAAGTAACTATACTTTTGTATTTATCCAAATCCAAGATTATTCAGAAGTTTTCTTAAGTTTTCAGGAGTGGTTTCAGGAAGTATTTTAAATGAGAAATACCATCATCTTAAGTCTTATATGGTGAACACATATATATCCTTCAAAATCCAAGACTAAAACTATCGTAGGTGACTAGCTCAGCACAACCTCAGTTAGACTTTTATACATTTCACTTGTGTGTAGTAGGGGAATAAGGCCATTGAGGATTCAGGCATCTATTGCATCCATCAGTTTTGTAAAGGACCAGTGGTTTCTCACCTGCTGTGTAATAGTGTCCCAGGGCCCCTCCAGCAGACGAGCTTGGTAGCATGCATGAACACTTTTCCATATTTCATCCAGAGTTAAAGGTCTTCCATCTGTGAGGGGGTTAAAACAACCATCCACAGTCAAAGCTCTTAAGCATGCTGTATCTTTAATACTGAATAGCAAAACTAAATCTGAAAATACTGATTATCTGGAAGCAGATGGAAAAAATAACAGCAAAACGTGACTGAGCCCCTTCTGGTCCCCTATCTCCAAAACAGAGTTGCTCAAATTCTGACTGAAGGTGCATATAAACTATTCTAAATTCCCTGTGCAGCTTTCTTCCCTGTCAAGTGAGAGTAACAACTTCCTGTTCTGGTTCTAAGTTGTGAAGTTAAATTAATTGTAAAACAATGTTCGGATAAGATACATTTAAAACCATAAAATAATACCATGAGCAGTTATCCCATGTAAATACATGCAGTTCATAACAAGTGAGAGGAAAATACCCAAGAAACAAATTCTGCAGACAAACGTTTACTGCATTTTTGTAACCTATCATCTGCCTGATTTGTTTTCTTAAGATGCATTTATACAGCATTGTTGCATCAGGTTTTTAGTTGCGATGCTAGAATTCAGGCCAAGATATTAGTGTCAACCACTTAGAAAATAAGCATGTCAGTTTTTCCCAAATATTTGTTTTTGGCAAACAGCACTAGAATATTTTGATATACTTTCAATAAGTAGCTTCATCTTGGCATTTATTAGGTGTCAGAAACCATTATCCTGGGATAAATAGTTCTATTCTACTGACATTTTCACGTCTGTAAAATGAACAAGATTTATTCACCCAATTAACATTTGAATGCCATGTTCAGATATAAGTTAAAACCAGCTGTCTACAGCCTCTGTTTTATCTTATTTTTTGCATATACTTATAAAAAAGCACAAAGTTCTGAACTTACAAAGCACCACATAGCAGAAACATGTGGCAAATAAAGTATCTGAGAGAGTAACACCACATTAACCAGCTATACTGCGCCATCCTCGTGAACGTAAGACTAGTTAGACCATCATCCTCTCTGTCTCACGATGGCAAGTATCAGAGCTGTGATGGAGGTGGTCTAACATTTGCTAAGGGATTTGTTACAAGAGTGTAAGTTAGGTTTAGAAGGATGTATTTACGCTCAGATCACCTGTGTGCAGGCATTACGAGATGCCATGCGTGCTTTTAATTTTCTGTTGTCTATTCAACATGCAAAGACCATCCAGAGAAAGTCCAAATGTAAAATCTAGGACAACACATGTTCTAAAGCAAAATCTGATTTACCGGTCTATATTTTGTTCTGTGCACCTTTCTTTGTATCTGAATTTCTATAGCAACACTTGAGCAAATTCAGATGGTACGCACAGAATGGATTATTCTGACCCTAACCGTTAATCTCATTTACAGAAACGATCAAATATCATTGAAGCATTAATCATATTATAGTTAAAATTGAGTTTTGTCTTTACCTCATGGATTTTATTACTTCATGTATGAGAAGTGGTATATCTTCCATCATATTTCAGTACAGATTTATTTTCATTTCACAGAAAAATACAAATACATTTAACCTGAAAGTTTCATTTCACATCAGAGTGAGATCACGGAGAGTAAGATACTTAAATAGTTAATATAGAGTCATTTCAATGTTTCACATAGGAACAAAAAATTTATTTGGGCATTCTGATTATGCATATATATTTTTAAATATACTTCAATTTAGATTTCCCTAGATTTTTAATTTCCTGCACTATTTTAATATATTTCACTAAGCTTTAAATGAGTTTGAAGTGTCTTTCTCAAACCGAGTAAGATTTCAAACATGCTTGCAAGTATTGTGATCCTGTAAATTCTTATTTAACTGACAGGGTCAGAAGATGGGAGGCCAGATGCAGCAGGAAAGAGTAAGTCATTAATACCTAAAACGGAGGTTCAGCTACATAGCTGGGAACTACAAGACCCTTGCAAAAGGAGAGGGGGTGGATGGGCAGTTTCCCCATCCTCTTTTTGTGGGATGAAGACCTGAAAGTCTACTGAAAGAGAAAGGGGAAGAGAAACACAAGGAGAAGGGACTAAGATCTTAAAATGACTGACACAAGGAACCATTTCAGGTAATCTGGCTGGAGGTGTGTTTTACATGTTAAAACTCCTCAGTTTGTGTGGTCAACTGTTTAGGATGATACAACTGAATCAATTTTATTTGCAATCTCCCAGATTTGCACAAAACTCACAGTCTGCATTCTTTGGGCACTTTTAGACCCCTTTTTCCAGGGCTAACAGGCATTCAGATGTTTAGCAGCCCTGATACACATTCTTGCAACCCACTGAGACCTCAAATATCCAGCTGGGCTGACAGAGCGGTCTGTAATCGTTGCTGCTAGCAACAAGGGGCCACTGTGGCACCTGCTGAGCCAAGCTTCAGCTCTCTTCTTCTTCTCGCATTCTTTCCTGTGACGGAGCTCAGAAAGTTCAGCCAGAAAAAGAAGGCAACAGCAGCATCAAGCCAAGGGAATTGGAAGGATAGGAACGTGGAAGCTTCAGAGTCACCCAGCAGTACACTTAGTCATCATCCACCCACGATGACACAGCTGCTGAAGTGCTTGCAGCTTGTCCCAAGCCTTACCCCATGTCTATCTGGGAGCAAGTTGTAGACAGAAGTGGAGGGTTTGGTTATATGTACGTTTTGTGTAATTCATCTCATTAAATAACTACAGAGTGAAAGGAAATAGCTGCTTGTGGGTTGTGCCAGACTTACTGTACCTTTGAAGCTCCATCACCAGCTCACCACCACTAACCCCAGCTCTGCGCAATGCAGGCTCTGATGCCATAAACTTGATATCTACCCAGCAAGGAAGGCCAAAAGAGCCTGGGAAGCAACCAGCTAAGATTTTTGTTGAGAGAAAGGAGATAAAGAATGGGTGTCAAGACCTCCTAAGTATGGGTTCTGACTCTGCCATTGACTAACTGTGAGCTTGAATCAACAAGTTCATTTGCCCTGCTAGTCAGGCAAGAATAATTACAGCCTTTCCATCACAAATTCACATTTTGACTATTTAAAGAGCCTAGACTATAACAATCTCATCCAAAAAAAAAGCTTCTTGATGGTCCGCTTGGGGTTAACTCACTTATATGACTGCAAATAAGAAATAGTTAAAAAGCAGATGGCTGACTGCCCCCTCACAGCAGCAAGGTGTGACATTAAGAGAACCTATGAGTTGCAGCTCCCAGCTGACTCGGCACCTTAATTTCTGCGAAGACCAGAAATTCTTTAGGCATACAAATTTCATGTACATTTTCAGAAAAAAAAGATCAGGCTTCCCAAGTTGCTGTATTTTGTCTTACTGATGTTTGCTGAAGGCTTTTAATAACGTGTTAGAGTTCTGATTAAAGGTTACTTGACACTTCTGGTGAAATGGCGCACAAATTGTTTTGAGACATCATACAAAAACATAGGTTTTTGTACTCTTAAGAAACCATGGCAGCAAAACAAAAAACACCCTTACAGCTGAAGAGAATATCTGATTATACAAATTATTCAGTTTTATTATGTCCAAAGCCATGATAAAACCAGTTCCTATGGGACATGGTCTTGAGAGGAGCTATTTTTTGGAGAAAGGACATAGTGGTTACATGTTTCTGAGTTCAGGGAGTAAGTCTATATTCTGGAAAGGGTATCACTCAGGCCCCGTACAGTTATGAACAGAGAAAGTGATGCCTTCAGGGTTGGAGGAAGTCACATTATCTTATAAGCTCTCTCTCTTTAACCACTGATTAGCATGTTTCTTATTGGCAGGTATCTAGCAATATGTCAGAGCACTAGACATATTTTGAGCAGGTCAACTTGAAAATTCTATTCCTTCTCTGACTCCTTTCTGGAGTCAGGCTGCAGTCCTTCCTGACCTCCATTAGTCCTGCTCTTTCTTTTCAGTGCTTAGCCAGCAGTCATGAGTATTCCTCTACTTTTGTAGGAAAAATAAGAAGAGAAGTATGAGACAAGCCATCATTTTCTTGGCATGCAGGATGTTTCCTGAATGATGCCTATGTCCACCTGTTATTGTGTTGCTGCTAACTCACTGTCGGTGCAAGAAGTTTTTTGAATGTATGGCTTCAGACAATAACAGTTCAGGAAAAGACCAAAGTTCCAGGGCATCTTAAAGACTAAGAAAGGAGGAAAATACTCCACTGATTAAAGAAAGCTTACTGGACCTAGCCCAGCCCATCTGTCTGATGCCAGAATTGAAGGGGAAGGCTAATTGCCTATACCATCTGTCTCTAAGAGGGCTAATTGCTGACATCAGATATCAGCAGGGGTTCCTGCATTTCTTCAGCTACCTATTTGGTAAGCTGAGAAGCCAGAGATAGAAAGAAGGGCTGTCATTTCTGAAAGGTATGGCAAGTGTAAGACTGATTTTGTGGAGATGACACCTAGTTCTTTGAGACTCTGAGGTACTAAGGACCACTGCCTTGACCTCCCAACACAGACTGGGACTTCAGTAGGTCTGAATTTAGGAATATATGCCACATGGGAAGTATCATAAAGTACTGAAAAATGTTTATTATGTATATACATGTAGCCTAAAAATATCTTTTTGTATCCTATAATGTTCCCAAACATATTTTCAAACAGTCATCACACTTTATCGTTGTTTTCTGGTGAAGTACTTGTCCTTGCACAGAACAAGACCTTCCCTGTAAATCTATCCCCAGAGACTACCAAAAAGCTTAGGTGTCTCTCAAAATGTTTTAGTTCTATTGCAATTAAAATTTCAAACCCTTACCTTGCACTACCTTACTTATCAACCTTATCACCAGAAAAAGGGGTCTAAAGATGAATTCCAGAAAATAAACTATTTCATCCAATTTAGACAGCAGCAAGGATAAGGATAAAAGGCAACTTTTCTCCTGCTGCAGGAAGAACAGATCTATGTTTGAGCACAAGTGCTAGCAGAGAGGAGTGAAAACTGTATGTCCTCACTGACACAAGCTACAGCCAACCATGTTGAGTATGACAGAAAAATCTCCCCAGCAGTATTTTTGGAAGCCTTTTTCCTAGGAGGGATTGTGAGAGACCAAGCAGTCAATGACAACTGGACTTGCATACAGCGTAAGAAAGGCGGGATTTAATTGTTGCAAAAGAGTTTTTAAAGAGTTTACTTGTAAAAGTGCAGATTTGGACAAGCTGGCACCAGTTGCTATTATAACATACAAAGTGAGGAAGTGAATATTGCAAAACAAGCAAAACCACTTAGTCAGGTCAAACAGAAGAATCATTATTTCCTAGGCAGGCCTCAAGGTGTAATGGCCACTTAACATACTGCCAGAGAGGAAGCAGAGTTTTGAATTCAAACTCTGTGCCCTGCTGCTGGGGAAGGCAAGACAGGGCAGGGCTGTGGAAAAGACTGGAAGGATTATAGCTCACCTTCACCTCCTGTAACAAGCTCTAATTAACATGGGGATCAGTACGGACAGGATTCAAGGGGAATCATGAACAGCCCACAAGAGACTTGTGAAGAGCCGATCCTGTTACTTAATCTGCAAATAATGGTAGGAATTCAGACTGGGAAATTGATGTAGGTCTCAGAGGAAGATTCTTCCCTGATTATTTCAGATAAGGAATGCAGTGAATATTACTAGTTGTCTGAGAAAAAACATAAGGACCCTATCACATGAAAACTATTACCTCAAAGGAGAAAAATCTCAGGGCATTACCTAGAGTTCTCCCCATGCCAGGATCAGGACAAGAGACGAGATACTTTGCTCAGATACCTCAAGTGATTTTGAGCGAATGTCATCTGCACGTTCACAAAAAAACCCATGTTGAGATCTCCAGACAGTGTGACACAGGCAGGGAAATAACTTTCAGGGATGACAGAATTTTTCATTTTCAGAAGTAAGCTATCCGTAATTAAAATCAGAAACTACTAGCTGAAAACATTATTGGAAAAGTACTTACTGCCAGCATTTTGTATCCTACTGTCTTCAAGAATCAGAGAATATTAAATGTTAAAAGAGAATGTTAAATGCTGAAGAGAACCCAGGTGACTTCAGGAATTACCTAGAAGAAGTCCTTGTTTTCCACTGTGAAATGTTCCCAAGAAGTGTTCTAAAGCCTAATTGTACTTGTAGGAACAATTACAGTTTTGTACTGCAAGGGGAGCTGTTGGCACATAATACTATGATTGTGCATTAGATCATCCACTAGCTTCTGTAATATCCACTTCCAGCTATAAGGAGTCATGTTTCAACACCTCCGATTCCCTGATGCTGACAAGCTAAACAACTTGTTTTGTCTCTGGGAGCTCTTCTCTGGTGATTAACTGCTTATGGTGAATACTAATTATATGAAAGTACAGTACAGTAGAAATGGTGTCCTATTTCCTCTACCTGCAGCGTCTCCATCCTCTTCTACAGAGACAGTGCACTATTAATTCAGCTAAAACCAAGAAGATGACATTTTTCAGGACCACAAATAGGTCAATCTGTCTCTCACAGCAAAACTTTATCTTCCTGTCTGCACAGTAAGTTTAAAGGCAAAACACTGCACATTTGGAAATGTCTGTAATAATTCTAGAAATAAATTTGCAGCAGGATGTGTGCAAATGAGTTCTGTTGATGGTAAAGGCAGAGCCATGTCCCCAATTCCCCATGTCCCAGTTTGAAAATTTACCCCAAATTATCCATTCCTGAAACTGCACCTCAGACTAAAATCTTGCCACCAGGGAGTCTGTGAGAATTTGTTCTCCAATTTTAAATCTGAAGTGCCTTTTAAAACGCCAACACTGCAAAATTAGAAACCATTAAACAATATAAGGTAGAGAGTGATTAAATCTACCAAACACATTCAAAGCAGCTTAAGATACTTTTTAATTAAAAAGGAAAAGATATCACTGGCAACATTCAGGCATCTTTATCTAGATAAAGTTGGGTGATTATTCAAAACACAAAAGATGCTGATGCTACCATGCAGGAGACTGAATGAAACGACATGAAGATTTCAATCCCTCCGCCCCAGGTATAGAGTCTTTGGGCAGAGAGGAACAGAGCACAGCCAGTGCTGCAGTGTGATCGCTCTGTGTTTGCTGATGAAATAAGTGACACTAACAGCGGCCTTGGAGGGAGCCCGTGTGTTCCTCCTTCCTTCCTGACAGGATGGTGAGTGAAATCACAGCGGCTATAGCAATTGAATAACGGATAACATGATGTACATCTCAGGGAGGAAAGAAGATCAGTTAGTGTTTCAAGCGCCAATTTTAGTAGACAGAAAGAGGCAATACCTTATTGGTATTCTATTTTTTAAGCAGCACATTTAAAACGAAAACAGCATACACTTTTACAGACCCCAGCCTTGTGGCTCAAATTCGGGCTCCAAAGAAACAGACGGAGTTCTGCTGAAGCACTGTAATTATGTCCACTTCTTTTGTAGCCAAATTCAAACCTGCAGCTTTAAGTCTTTGTATTCGTTTAACAAAAAGAACAAGAAAAATGACCAGCAGTTTTAGTCAACCACAGGCAAGATGCCAGGAGCCAAAGATCAGCCTCCTTCAGGCTGAGATGATATCATCTACTCCAAGGTCCTGAAGCTCTCTGTCTGCAGTATTACAAAATTTACTGGTGAACAGCCTCTACTCGTACTTTCTTACTGCATATGCTCATTACTCTGTTCCTCCATTTAGTAAAAAATCTGTTTTTAACATCTATTGCATCCAACATACTTTTATTCTTCCCTTTGTCTAACAGAAGATTAGTCTTACCTAAAAAGCCTGCCCTAAAATAAAGCACAGGCACTCGGTAGCTGTTGGAGTACAAGACATGATATTCATAGCGAATCACTTCTTCTGTTGCACAAACTCCAGCCACTTCAGAATCATCCAAAGACTCCTAAAACAACAAACATGACCAGAGTAATACATCAATTTTTGTGTCTGTAGCAAGGGAAAAGTGATTACTACTATTGTAATAAATTCAATAAATATACAGAACAGAAATAATGGCAATCGCCCCTTTCACAGCACTTCTGCTTTGAATTCCCAAAGGAATTTTTCAATTCTAGCAAGAAAACCATGAAACTCCAAAACGTACAAAGACACTTACAGACTTACCTCCACAAACTCTGAACTGTGTGTATGCATTTGCAGAATTGAGGTTTTTCTAAGAGCAGCCTGCTTTTGTAACTAAAGGACAAAAGCTCTCTAAAATCTTTATGGCACAGTAACTGGCACAATAAGGTGACTACAGTTGCATACCTCCTTATTACCTTTAGTACAGACCACTTTAAAAGTGTATCCTTAAATAATCTGGTTTTGCTTGCCAAAAGACAAATCAAATGTATCCATCAAATATTCTCTGTTCTACCTTCTTTAAAGGCTTTTTGCCAGGGGTTGTTTTTGCTAATAATACTTCTAAAACTGAGACAATTTATTCCTGTCAATGTATATTTCAGGTGTAAAGTAAGTGAAGTTTATTGTAGATTTGAAATAAATCAGAAGCAATGGAACTTAGTGCATTGAGATATACCCCAGTTGCAGTACAAAATTTCTAACATTTCAGGTTAATATTCAGTGCTAAGCACTCAGTTGTTTTTACTTCTCTAAAAAGTGCCGATACTCAACATCTCTGAAAATGGAACCATTATATGAATAATGCCATTAAGATTAAATGTTAGAACAAACTTTCCAAGAAGACACTATGGGTGTGGACTTGTTTGGTTTTCAAACTCCCAAATTTACATGCATGAACTAAGCAACCATCATGCCCCACAGGTTGGGTGTGCATTTAACAACTTGACTACTGCCGAACAACTGTGAATATTGGATTACTGTCTCTGTCCAAGCAAAATTAAAAAAGACTGGACTGAGAAGAAGAACCGTCATCCTTTGAACACCGTGCTGGTTTAACACACAAGGAATTTAAAGCTAGTTTGCATTTGTATCTCATATCTGTAACTCAGCCATGAATCAATCGATGAGGAGATATAAGAACTGATAAACTGTAACAGTAATGACACACAAAATACTTTCAATTTTTTTTGATAGCCCACATAGAGGCGATTTCCCCCAAATTTAGTGTATTAGACAACCACATGCTGCTGAGGCACATGGATAGATGACCCCGATTGGAGAGCTCAGATCTTGGGATGCTATACTCAAGGGTACTATAAATACATTTTTGGACATTAAATGAGAAAATTACAGATGCTCACAGAACAGAAGGTTTCTGGGAAATTCTGGGGAGCTGTAAGAATGGCTGATTTCAGCTTACCAGGAAACAGATATCTAAAGCATTGAAAGGGAATGGTAAAGAAAGTGCTGTCTGTGTTAACCTAGTTTTCAAAACTGTATGTGGAGGGATACTAAAGACACCATGCCAGAAGGGACAATGATGATTACCGTATCTGACTCCACGGGCCAGGTAAAGTTAGGTATGCTATGCCCTGTTCCCATGTGAATGTGCAACAGACTAAGGCAAGTTCTTTCCTCCTCACAAATGTCATACCCTGTGATCAGATGTGAAATACAGATTTCAAAAAATCTCTTGAGAAAAACATAAATTTCTTCTCTACGGTAAGCCGAACTTGTTTTAAAATGGATCCATTTTCAGTGCTTTAGTGAGAATAGTAAAGGAAAAACCAGCAACGGCATGTGGTAAAAGAAAACAAAAAACAGCTACAGATTGTCTTTCAAGATTGTAGGGGTGGGAAAGAGAAAGGGCCCATATTGAGAACTGAACCTGCATTAAAATTTACAAAAGCCTTTTGGATCAAGCTGCTGGAATCAAAACCATACTGCTTACAGACATTTATGTTTCACCAGGTATTATGGCCTTGCCTATTGCTTAGTCATTAGCTTACCTTGCCACGAAAAAATACTTCTCCTGGAAAGAGAAATTTACCTGTTCACATATTAAATACTATTGTTCTAGACAACAGCTGTATGTATACACACACTCCTCTCCCCTGCTTTCTGAATATGAAGGTAAAATTACTCAATACCCTCACATAAATACTGATATCTAATTTGTAACCATTTTAGACTGAATGACAGGGAGACATATTCTTTATTACCTCCAAATATTTAAGAAAAGAAGTAAGTTAACACTCACCCAAAAATGAAATATTCAAACTTGCATACCCTTAAGGAAAACATGCTTTATAAAATCCCTACCTACTATCTGAGAAAGTCATAAATCAAGATAGGAACAACTTCATCATTAAGAATTCAATTTACTGGATTACCACAGATTTCAGCTGGTAAACAACTTCTATCTTCCTTTCTGGATCAGGAAAAGGAAAGCCAAGGAGTGACTTTCTAATTTCATTGTTCCCTGAGATGGCCACCGAGGTATCTTAAGAATTTTTGCCATTACCATACAGACATTACACGGGAGGCAATTCCCAAAACTTCCTGTTATAGAGAAAGGTGATTTTACCCCAAAGTCGCCTTCCCAGAAGATGTACATAGTTTGATGGCAGAGGAGGCTGCAAAGAAAGGAAGAAGGCAGCTTTAATGCTTTACTCTTTTGGAGAGCAGAGTATTTTTGGACAGATTTATTTTGCATTATCCTGGATTTTTCTGACTGATAGTTTAGGCAGTTTCTGAAATCAAGCATTCAGCTGAATGCAAAGCTCAAAGAAGCTTTGAAACTAACATTCTTTAGCTCTGTAACAAGATGGACTTTTCGTCTACTACAAAGTTTCTACACTTACTCAAAATAAGTTTCTGATGTTCAGATCTTTTTTCTGCTGTTTCTAGTGACATTGTATTTGTGATCTGCATACAAAGGCAAATAGCTGAATCCTTCTCAGGGCTAACTCTAATCCCCTTTCCTTTTGTAAACAGCAGTTTCAGGTTTTCTTACATAAGAAGATACAGCACTGCTGTGTAATCCGGTACTTTACAGACTCTGCAAGTACAGAGGACGCCCAGTATTTATGCAGGGAAAGCATATTTCGGAGTCTAAAAGTTTTGATGGTATCTCTCTAGCTGATGAGATGAACTTTTCTGATGAGGTGAGTAAAATGAGTACAGCCATTTTAGGTGATCTTTGGAAGACCTGAAAAACTATACATGGCTGAATAAAGCCATGAAGTCTCAGACAGTTTTATATCAGACCAAAAGACATTTATTTTTCACTTTTCAACCATCTACTGATAAAGCCATAAATATAAAATGCAGTTGTAACTTATTAAAAAAAAACCAAAACCACAGAATTTTGTTTTTATAGATGTCATACAATAGTCTATTTAACATTTTTTTCAAGTAATTGTTCTACTTTCCTTTTTTATGTATGTTGCTGCTCTGCCACTTTTTGAGCTGAATTTTGGTTAGTGTAATGAGAATATTGAAATCAATTTTAGCTTTGGAAGATTTTGTAACTGCTGCAAAATGTTCAGACACGTACACACATCACAAAAGAAATCCATAATTTTGCTTAGAACTTGTAAGGACAAAGCAAACATACTTCCATTAAAAAAAAATTAAACGCTAACAACAATGGGGTTTTGGCCAAATTGCAATTATTAAAAGTAATATTAAGTAATTTGATTTCTCAGGTTTTTTTGTTTCTGCTTTGCAAATTTGCTTGCATGTTTGCCACGTTCCAAGTTAAAACTGTGAATCCAGGACTCGCTGACTGTTTCCTAAACAAATTGGGAAGTTGTCATCAGGAAGCATCTGCTCCTCTACTGCTCTCACGTAAAATCATTCTCATGCTATCATAATGGACTATTGAGCAGATTTTTAAAAGCAATGTATGTATAAGCAGCAAGTAATTAATTAATTATATTAGTTCCACCATAAATGAACTATCACTAAATTGGATATAAAATTTTCTCAACCTTTAAGTATCCCCTCAACAAATGAAGTTGATTTGTTCACTTTAAAATGCTAAATTATTTAAATTAATAGACAAGAAATGACACTCTGAAGGCAAAATAACATATCTGTACTACTTCTATTCCTCTTGATGAAGAAGGCAAGGTAAAAACTGCTGGTAACAAGTTAATTTGACAGCAGGGGAGAGTTAGCAGTGTGTTTTGATACTCCTTAGGAGCAACTGTGCTCCACAGACTGAAGAGCAGCAGGAAGGTATGGGTTAAGGCTGATCACCTTTGGAGGGAGGGCTCCAATAGAAAGGGAAGAGCCAGGGAAGTGACAGACGGGGCAGACTGGGAAAGCACCAGAATTACCTGATAAAAAAGGGATTTTTCTCTGCTCAAACATTTCCCTCTCTCCACCTCTACGGACGGTGCCAGCCTTCCTTGTTCAGCCCAAATTCCCTTTGAAATGCAGAAGCAGGCCCTAATGCCTTTTTCTAGGGAAAAACTAGGAGAATTGGTTTTAAGAACAGCAGGCACATTTCTCCCGGATCTCAAATCACTGTTGCCTTTCTCCCAATTCCCATGTTCCTCATCTCTCTTCTTGCTGTCTTGACCTCTATTTCCTCCTGCTGCAGGCCAGCCTCCTGGGAAATTCTCCTGCAGGAGCACGGCAGGATTGGGCTGCAAGCAGGAAAGGGAGGAAGAGGTGACGCAGGCACAGTTACTGGTACTGCTAGTTTCGTTGTGAGGGGGGAGAAAAGGAGATGCAATACAAATTAGTAAGCAAATCTGATTTCATTGCTTGGAATACATTTACACTTAATTTCATTTCAGCTTCCAAAGTTGAAAACAAACGTATCACTGTTTCTCCAGCACGGCGTTTTCTTCCTTCAGCGACGTCTGTGAGCTACCGTGTGAAACACAAGAGCCTCCAGCAAGCAGCTCCCCTCCCTGCTCAACACTTTCCCTTTGGCAAATAGGGAGATCTGAACATGAAAACTGAATGGTAGGACAGTATTCATCAGAATTAAAACAGAACGTAATGCGGAGGGTGTGGCAGCGTGGTGAGATTATATCTGCGCCCTTTATTCTTCCTCCTGGGTGTTCTCCACATGTACTTGGACCGTGTCTCACTTTTTTGCCTGCAGCCCCCACGGGTCTAGTCTCTGCAGGTCATTTTGCTGCTGGTTGTTGTCCCTCCCGCATGGAGTCTCAGTCATCTGTAACCCTGACAGAGACCTTGAATCTCCGGATCCCATCCCCCCTTTCCCTTCCACACCGGAAACACAGTGGTCAGTGAGGTAACAGGGGTCAGAGAGTCGGTCGTCTGGGCAGCAGCCCACTCCTCGCCCTCAGATCGGATCATCCCCGTAAGCTGGAGAACGGCACGAGTCTGGAGCTTGGCTGACGGCATGAAGGTGGAACTGCCAGTACACCCAGTGCCTGAATTCAAATCACAAAACGAACTACCACTTGAAAATTGCAAGGAGGCCCAGAAAATGGAAAAAACTCCTTGCAAAACTAGACAGGCTGAAGGAAAAAAAACAACCAACAAACCAGGACTTGCAAGAACCTCAAAACCATCCTAGAACACATGGGTTTTTTTAATTTCAATACAGTAGCAGAATTTCAGTTTGCATTAAGTGATTAAGCGATACTGTCCCACACAACATCCTT